TATACATTTATGGCAGACAATTTGAAAGTGTACTGACAGAATGACAGGATTAAAATTTATTTATCTTCAGAAAAGAGTAAAAACTGTTCTATGACTTGGGGGAGAGACATACAATGCATGGACTTTTTCTTGAGCTCTGGTTAATCAAAATTTGATAGAACAACATTCCTCAAAACAATGAAAATGTAAATGAAAACATTTCTGCCCATCTAATCTGAAAAACAAATTGTACCAACAATAGTACACATTTTTAATTACGTTATCTACTATAAGACAAATGTTACAAAAGAATTAACAAAACAATAGAAAATAGAATTTTTCGAGTTCTTTTTCAATGAGAAAATTTGACTTTATACTTGCATCTAACTTTTCATTTAGACTACACTCCAAATTCGGGTAATAATTCAAGAATGCAACAAGGAATGCGGTAGAAATCAAAATAATGGTGACAATTCATATAAATTAAGAATCCCAGAATTAGCAGTTCTGAACTGTGCTATTAGTGAATGTAATCCATTATTAGTAAGCATCAAATACAACAGCATATCTATGTTGTAACAATTCACCTGTTCCCCAGCCCGACCCTGAACCACTACGTTTTCTGCCAAGCAATGTTTGGTATTAATAAATAAGCATGGATATATACATATATTCCAGATATATTCTCACTGCCCCTGGTAAGCATGTAGTATTTATGTACACTCTGTGTTCTGCTGGGTGGTGGATGTCAACTGTTTTCAAAGAATTTACGTGTAACCAAAGAGTAGTTAACAGTACATTATTAGTCGCGGCATATTTTGATATACACACACCAGTTGTCGCGGCGGACCGAGTCCGCACTTAGCTAAAAGTGGATATAGGCAAAGTATATTAGGAAATTTATTTTCGATGTAAAAGGAACTTATAAAGAAAAAGCTTAGGAATGCAAACAATAATTTAACGAAAGAGTAATATCAACACAAAAATAATATTTTAATCTTAATGTATTAAGAGTATTTTAATTATTGTAATATCACATTCATGGATTTCTGAACATATTACTTTACTCAAATTGTACACACACACAAACTACGCAAAAAGCCGAACAATTTATTAATAAGTTTCCACTTTTTAAACATTCCGAGCAAATGGTAGTTGATATTAAAGTAGTAAAATTTAAGGTACTAAAAAGGGAACAAATCTGAAATTCAGAATTACCGGCCAATTTGCCTTTTGTCAGTTTTCTCAAAAATATTAGAGAGGCTTTTCTATACACGAATGAAAACTTTTCTTAGGAAAAACGAAGCGTTTCAGTCTCATAACACGGTTTTAGGAATCAAAATCTACGGAACTGCCATTTGTTCTTTTCTTAAAGACGTTGTTTCATCAATGGACCGAAATGAATCACTCGTTGGAATATTTTTAGATCTTTCGAAAGCATTATTGACCATAATATCACGCTATTAAAATTACCTTACTATTGAATTCGTAGTATCGCCATCGATTGGATAACCTCGTACTTTAAACATCGATCACAACATCGACATCGATCTCAAATAGTAGAAATACCGAACCGACACGAAAGTTGTTGTTTTTTTCTTTTCTTTCAATTCTTTACCAATTGAATATGGGGTCCCGCAAGGTTTGATCTTAGGTCATATCCTCTTTCTGTTATATGTGGACAATATGGCCTCGCCTATTAAAACCGGAAGAACTGTATGTCGATGACACGAATGTTCTTTGCAAAAAAGACTCAATAAATAGTACGATTTTAGAAGTTTTAAAATGGTTTTGTAATAACAAATTAATAGTTAACGAAGGAAAAATATGGAATGTACATATAACGGAATTGATCACTAAATTAAATTCATTATGTTACACACTCATAATTCTTTTAAGTTCTATCAGCCTTCATGCAGCTCGTTGCGTGTATTTTGATAATGCGCATTCCCACCTAAGATATAGCACAATATTTTGGAGAAGCTCATCATCTCTCAGAACTTTAGAATGGAAAAGAAAATTATTCGAATAATTAAAAAATTCCATCCGAGTGATCCCTGCAAGCCTCTCTCTTCATTGAGATTGGGGTCTTACCATTGCCTTGTCCATTTCTTTGAAAAACAATTATAAAACTGAATTACTTATCGGTGGGAACATATTTTCATGCAATATTGATATTCATAATTACAACACGTCGTAGAAATCACGTTTATCAAATATCTGAATCAACAGCTCACTACCAGAAATTCACATACAATACATGTGCGTTACTTTACAACATTGCCAGATGACATTACAAAATTGAAGTCGGTACACAAATTTAAGTTATAAGTAAAACTGTTTCTGCTGCATAACTGTTTCTAAACAATTAGAGACTATACTGATCATCAAAAAGAAAAATAATGCCATTTTAACAAAACACTGATTATATATATGTACTTCGGCTTCCGGGTCAATGACCCCTATCTCGATCAGGTTTTTGTCCTTTCCCTGATACAATAAGCAAATGATGAGATGGCCCCTTGTTTTGCTTTTGGACGTAAAAGTTGCTTCACTATGCGCACGTTTTGTTGATCTCTCCTTTTGCTTGTAGTAGTAGGAGTAGAGGTAAGGGCGAGTTACTATTTTGTAAGCAATGCAGAAAAATCAAATCTGCAGTTCGTTTACCGTTGCAAATAAGTTTTCTATAACTCGGGAACGAAAGTGTTCAGTTTTTTCAAATGTTGCTATTATCGCTCTTTTTATTTTATGTTTATTTATCTTTCACTTTTACTCATATTTTAACTATTTATAGTTAAAATGATGGGAAGGGATTCTGGAACTTAACAAAACACGCGCAGATGATCTTCACCCCCATACAGTTTTTTGACTAAATAAATTTAAATCATGCCCCAAGCACATATATTCTCGAAGGAATGCTTAGGTGGTAAGCCATTCATGGTGGCTCGCCATCGCCCGTATTCGGATAAAAGTTGGTACGGCAGCTGGTGAAGAATTATTTTCGAGAAATAGAACTGAGTAATTAGCTGCGTGGACCTCTTAAGAGACTTAACGGCACCAACATCAAACATGAAAAACAAAACTACCATAGGGCACTTGCGTGTATACCTAGCGCAATTATAGACACAAAATAATTTATCAGCCATGTCCACCCCATCTTTGGTCGTAGTATACATGATTATAATTTCTGACTTACCAATATCAATATTATTGTCGTGGTGGAGACTGGACGCAAGCAGCATATTCCTTCTCTGCTTTGGAATATACGAAAGCAAACATGTTTGAACCCTCTGGGCATTTAGCAGGATGTGCGATTTCAGATGGTAATTCTTTTTTATAGTTCCTAATACAGTTAGCTTGAAGTCCTTTTTTCAATGTTTCAATCAATGGAATGCTGGTAAACCAGTTGTCCATTGTGACATTCTACCTGTTTCATTGACTGATTACAAACGAGCTAGAATATAGTATATTATAGCTCGTTGTAGATTACACATCCTTTAAACTACTGTGCCAGGAGAGTTAGGAACTTAATGATACGGTCCCTCTGGTTATGTGCCGACGTAGACCTCCATGTTATTGGTGTTTTATATTATTCCACTGTAAACAGCAAATATTTTAATGCCACATTCCTTTGGCTTACTTGGTACGTATTGACTAAACCGGCAATTTAGAAGTCCTCCAATTTTTCATGAAAGGTGACGTATTCGAAAGGAGTATAAGCTGTTTGACAGTTACAGATGAGTCAAAAATGTTCCTAATGGGTGCTAACTTGTCATATTTCAACCTTCCGTCTCATGTCGACTTGTCATCGAACCGCCGATATGACAAGGAAACGAAATCTATTCAATGACATTGTCAGCCTGAATATTTCTACTCCTGTGCCGCTAGTCTTCCACAGATCATTTCCATGATTCGCTTCCCGGTCAAATACAGTAAATCAATTAGAGCTTGAATTTCATTTGCAAATGAAATTTTGCAAGCTCTCGCTCTCGAAGTTTTCCGTTTCTTAATAAACAAGTTGGTATTTTCCTCCACGATATCAATTAGTTTTCAAATCTTTTACAGCTCCTGTTCACCTGGAAGACAGATGTGTTACTAAATTCTGGAAGTGAACATTTCTTGAAAATACTAAGAGTTTGTATTATTTCGTAACTGCACCTTTTGCAACACAAAAGGGACCTGACATAAAATAATAAATATTATTATCGAGATCAGATACATCTTGTTTCGTATCAGAATTTTTAGTCTGAACTTCCACCTCATCTATATTTTATTCACATTCGCTACCATAATCACTACCGTCTCCGAAAGAATCATCTAATAATTTCCCAAGTCTATCTGCCTCCCTTTCATAGAAATACATTCTAAAATAAATAAAAACCCTTTACTTACTGATTGACGTGTTTACCGCAAAAAACATTCTATCAACGGGTATGACAGCGAAAACTCACCTTGTTTTTGAAACTAAAAGCAACAATGTAACGCCAGAGCTCGCGTCGGACCAACGAGATTGAATTCCGATTTAGATTTTTATCTCATTGCGTCGAGCCGAGAGTCAGCAACTGCAGATTACTCCGAAACGACAACACTACTCAAAACGGAAACACGAGAATGATTTAAAACCACTGTTTCTACTTATGTACTAAAAACACGGCTGGTCCCTAAGGTGAATATTATTAAAAAGAGGAAAATAAATTGGTTTCGGACTCAGAAAATCCGCGTAAGAGCACTGCAGGGTTAACATGAAGTCGTACTCATAAAATTATAATTTTAAATATATTTGAAGAATGGCCTCATTTTTTAACGCGGGAAATTTAATAGTCAGGTTAACGCCTAACAATCTAAGAATATATCATACTCATCTGTACAGTTATAATTAATAATAATTAAGTAAAGAAGCAATCGCATTGGGTTGGTTTTTAGTAGCAGAAGGAAATTAGGCAAGGAGTCGAAGAAAGTCCAAATTCTCTTCTAAACAAAACGATGACAAAAGGTGAATTTCTCATGAAAAATTAAAATATTTCGGTTTCTTTTGGAACTTCGAAAATATAAGATGTAATAAATTAATATTGGTAATACAATTAGAAATGAAGCTTAGGACGGTCGCTCAAAATCGTACGTATCATTTATAATTACGTAATGAATTGGTGAAGTATAAGAAGGGGCAAAGAGATGTTTAGTGGGTCGTAAACAAAAATTTTATCTAGCGGTATCCATTGAGTATTACTGACTTCTTCAGAGGGAGGAAGAAACACAGTTTTGGGCGCTTTTTCCGTTTTAAGAACCAAAATCTGAAGCTTCAGCATACAAGAGAGGCAATTTTAGAGAATGCAAGTAATTAGTCGGTCAAACTTTGCAAATTACTGCTTCTCACAATATGCTCATGACTAGGAAGCAAGTTTCTATGATTTTGCATATTTTTATCCAATGCTTATGGCAACCAAGTGAAAGATTTCTTGACATTTGGTTAGAATATGATGCTAAATTAAGATGTATATATTGACTGATTTTCCTAATCAGGTGAATATTTACTTTATTTCTCCTGCGAAACAAGGTGCATTTTATCCTGTTTGCCCCCAAACACATCTTTTCATTCCAAGCATGAACTTCATCAAGGTAAATGCAGAGAAGAAATATTGATTTAATTGCATTATTAAAAGTGCTAATTGAGAATTTTTAGCGTCAAATGCATATTTTTAAAACCATATTTCAAGATTTTTTTAGGGCATAAAATTCTCTCCTTACTCATGAGTATTCAGATAAAGTAGAAACGCTTCTTCAAGAAGAAATGCTTTGCAATGACAAAAGATTCAACTCGTTTCTAGTGGTTTATTTGGGCATACCGAATCTTTTTGAACAAATCATTTAAGGATCCGTAATATGTTTAAATTTTATAAGTATTTCAATAATGTAGTAGTTTCTAAATACTTTGTTTTAATTCGTTATTACTACTTTTTCAATTCCTAGCATTCAACTCAATAGGTCTGCAGAGATTGTATTATCACAACATCATTTTACTACGCTTGCATTCTGGTGGCCGAAGAAGTATCTACTCGAAATAAAGATTTGGCAAAGATGTTCGCGAGCTGCTTTACTAATTTCTCAATCTGGCTTTCATTAACCCTTGGTTTGAAATATTTAAAATTTTAATCTACTTTTTTTAAAAACTATACTGTTATGTAGTCTCAATAACTTACAATAACAACAAAATTTTCAAAACATAAATAAACACTTATGTAGGAAGGTTGTTTTTGCTGATCAATCACTTGCCTTTAACATTCGTCATTTACTGTGGAATTTTTTTCAGCATTAAAGCAGCCCGTAAAAACTTCTAGTATAGATTCAAATTTACGTAATAATAAGTTTGTGTACTTATATTCACTGTCAGATACCTCCACAATGTTTCCTCAAAACATCCTAGCTTCAAGTAAATTATACAAAAATAATTACAAAAACAAAACTCCTGTAATTAGACACAAGAACACAGCTTTGTTTTCTTTCCAAATTTCTAAACGGCCGGTACAAGGAGCTCAATTCGTGGAAGTACGTCACAGTACCTCTAGATGTCCCTACTTTGCATTAGCGTTGGAGGTTTCACACAAACACTCCTGAGATTTCCGAACCAAAACAATGAAATAGTGGTTATGGGGCAAGACCACTGGTACTCAAAGGGTTAATAAAAAGTATTGTCATGTTACAAGAAACAAGTTGGTAAATCAGTTTTAATAACATTTTCAACATCAGATTTGATTTATAGGCAATACTGCGCAGATTCATAAAAATGTATGATTTTTCTGGCTCGCTTATGCTCCATCCAAAAGGTTTATCTTCTGCCTGTGAGCTTCCTACCTGCATCGCAAGAGGCTTGAATTGGAAACGCACGGAAACCAAAAAGTCGCTTCAGCTTATGACCTAAAGCTCACCTACCCCTCGGCTGTTCTGACTTGCCAGTCAGGTTTATGTCTTGTTGCAAAAATCCATGGTTGCTAAATTACCTCAAGAAGTCCTGCTGTAGAAGCTGCTCCCAAACACGGGTTATGAGTTAAAATAAAGATCCTATATACAACACTGAGCTGTAAATTGAAATGAACAGTCCAATAAGCATCACTGATAACCCTACACATTTTATTCTGAAAATTAATTCAAATGCTGTTTTAATTTATCAATGTTCTTGCTCAATAAGTCACATATGTGATAACAGACTACTTGGTTACACAATAATGTTTCCATAGCTGCATTTCAATATATTGGATCCCAAAATATTTATGAATTGAATAAAGAACAATAGAGAACCAGGTACAGCTTCAGTGAAACAATCTTGGCTGAAGGGCGAGATTTCTTAACAATAACAGTAAAACGAGTAAAATTTTTTTCAATCCCCCCTCCCAAAGATCTTGAGTTAATGACAAATTCATCGAGACACTTGGCAGGTTTGTACGAGCTCAAATTCTTTCACAATTTTAAACTGGTAGGTACATAGGCAAACATAGGTTGTTAGTCAAATGAGGAAGTTTAGATTGTTGACATTGAATTACTATGTTGTAATGGTAGTCCTTGCACCTTCTGGCTCAATCTGCAGAAACCAGCAAATGGGTGAGAGATTAATTAATGGTCTCCTGAACATCCCTCAGAGATGTTAAAGAATAACTTAGTGTCAAATGAAAAAACCTTAGTAATAAAATAAATAGTAATATTTATAGTAGGCAAGGTTGCAGTTCAAAGAAAAACCACAATATATTACGAAGTGCAATTCATTTGTTTCTGCTCAAAATATGATTACAATGAGTTTAAATTTACAAAACAAATGACTGGTATATTTTTTCCCACTTAGGTACTTAACATTCACAAAGCCTTGAAGCTCACTTCCACTGCACCTCTCAATACAAAACAATGAGGAAAAAAAAGTTTGTCAAACAACCACAGATAGCACAAAAAAAATACTGTGTATTGCAATTCTTCTGAAATGAATACACTCAAACGATGCCTGACAGTACATATCACTTAGTCAACATTGACACATTTGAAAATTAATAAATCAACATGTGGTAACCATCTCAAACACAATTTAAGTACAAATGAAATTTAGAACAGTTTCAAAATGCATATTATCTATAAAGCACACCAGTTTCAATAGTACATCATGTTTTCGTAGAACACAGGACCTATAGAAACAAATATTTATTTTCCTTTGTATTGCAATATTTGCTTATTCCAAACATTACATATTTTATTCTTGCATCATATCCCAACAATATTTCCCAAAACAGTAAACCCGTCCATAAATCCTTTGTGTGTTAATCATACCCCACCCAATGATCACCGATCTCAGTAATATGGCACAAAAAACGTCTCTTCAAGAAATCTACAATAATTTGGCCTTGAACCATGTTAGTGAGGTCAAGCGACTCAAAAAGGAAATCTGTAAAAATGAAACAAGTTTACTAATCTACCAAAAAGACAATTTATTTTTTGAAAGTATCAAATAGCACTTTTTGGAATTAATAATCATCTCCACGGCTCACAACTTCCTTGCATGTGGGACGAAGGAGGATGGTATGCTCAAATTGCGCAGTGTAACAGCCTTTCACATCACACAGAGGAGGATAAGGATCAACGATGCCTTTGTCGCACAGATCTTTGAGAGCCATCTGATACTTGGTACAGCCTATGCGATCCAGCCAACGCCTACAAAAAGCCAAAGTGCTGAAGTTCTTATTAATAACATTCAGCAAGCTCTTAGAAGACTGCAACCTGCAAATAATTAAAAGCACCATTTGAACAACATCAGTACACAAACAACTGTGACATAAAATGCAAATACACTGTTATAAACTGGCAAACAAAAACACAAATTTTGAAGAAATTAGCAGTGAGTTTGCCCTTCATTAACAATTTTGTGCTCACCTAAGAGGAACATAACCCATATCAAAATTCTTCATATAATGTGACACTTCCATATCATCATGCACCTGACCACGGCCTGTTGATCCAAAAGTTTCAATGGCATAAATCTCATTTTCTTCCATTACAGTTGCTTCACCACCTTTTACAATTGGCACTGTCTTGCCTGAATGAATACCTGAAAAAGCAATCAACATAAAATTAGAAAGAAAAATACAGTCTCCCAAAATAGTTATCAATTAGGTTGGTAAAACAGATAACAGAAGAGGTTGAAGTTTGTCAACCAAAACGATAGCAGAGGTGCATAACTAATAGTGACAGTAATTTGTGTTATCTGTCGTGTGCCGTTCAATACTTTTCAACATACTATCAGCTTATAAGAAAAAATCATACAAACAAGAAATACCTTTCTTGGAATGATAGTACTATTTTTAGTTACAACTTATTTGTTCCAATTGTTCTTGAAGGACAGTGAACTATTAAATTTTCTACAGATACTGATCATTAAGAATGACTTTTTGTTCCTCCATTTGGTTGCATTTAATTGATAATAACAATGCAGTATTGGAAAAAATGTATTTAATAGAGTAAGAATCTCAATTTTAAAATATTAGAGAAGAATCAAAATACTAACACCATTAAAACATGTTTCCAGAACAGTAACATTTCCTCCCCCCCCCCTTCCACCTTTAATTTTCACCTAATATGGATACTGAAAATAATGTACTTACGATATGGTGATATTGAATGGCCATTTAAATTCCGAATAGATTTCACTTGGTATGTCTTGCCTTCCAATTCTATCTCATAGGATTCCATTACCTCTTGAATCGCTGCACCAATATCACATAACTGAACATCAATGCCAGCAGCCTGTACAATACATGTTTTTGCTAGAATATTTTCCAGAGTATGCCGAACATTCACATTTACACGTATTAAGATGATTTGATCAAAACACACAATATTATTAGTTTTCAACAATAATAAATGGATAAATCAGGGCAACATAACTAAAAGGAATAAGAATAATTAGCTGTGAATTAAGGTTACTTTATCCTCTTTAGTCCTACCTTAATTCCTGTGTTTGTTGCATCACGTACAGCCTCAATCAATTTATCGTACTTGGGATTAAATGTAAGAGTGAAAGCACAATCAATGATACGACCTGAAATGAAATTAAACAGTTACATTTTTGTACTAAAAAACTAATACATTTGAAAGATATTACTTTTAATTATTATTCAAGTCTGTAAAATGTTTTCAAAGTTAACCAACAGGATTGATCAAATTTTACACATCCTTTAATAAAAAAAGTATCCAATTTCCATTAACCTCCTGTGTAGTTAATGTTGATTGACTATTTAGTGTATCCAGGTTGCGTCAACTGTTATGATCATTAGTTCCATAAAGTTAGTTCATATTAGTACATCCCAGGAGGTGGCTGTTCCTCCTCCACTGGAATACTGGCATCAACCTACACATCTCTATGCAGATTCCCTCCTCCTGATAAGTTCCCAACTGGTTTCCTGATAAGCATACTCAAATGCTTGCAAATGTGTGTGTGTGTGTGTGTGTGTGTGTGCGCGCATGAGTTTGACTGAGTGTGTTTATGTGCCTTTTTGTGTGTGCCTTTGAGGGTGCATTTGCATGTGAATTTGCTTGTGCAAGTGTCGTAAAGGGTAAGGAGAGAGAGAAAAGGAGAGGAGAGAGAGGAGAGGAAAGAGAGGAGAGGAGACGGGAGGAGAGAGGAAAGAAGATAGGGCTGACGAAGAAAAGGTGTACTGTTTATGGTCGCATTTGTTAAGGTACTGCTTCAGCATTTGCCATGTATTGATACAAGAAACCATGAAAATTCTAATCAGAACAGCTGGCCTCAAGAATTCTTCTGGAGGCAGTGGCTAAATTTGGCCTAACTATGTTGCCAGCCAGCCACTGTTGGGTTTTGAACCCTACGCAGCGACATGGGGAGAGGGGCATTTGCAATATTGCCGTTGAGACGTCAACAACAGTTGAATCTTGAATATGTATCTATTCCAATTTCCTGAGTGCATAGCACACACTACAGTTTTAAAATAGTTTCTTTGGTACTATAAAGGGATACCTTTTTAAGAGAAAAGCTCATTCAGAAGTGCTGGCAAACACCATGCCAATGACCTTTGTAATTTCTCCTTTTTCTCTTGAGGTGACAAGATGCACAACTTCAAATTATTTTTAAATTTTCCTAAACTTGTGTATTTTTGAAGTTACTTTTGTGTTACAAGCATTTTAACAAGTTAAAACATCCTGATCTAATTGAAGTGATCTGATTGTTGTTGATGAAAACTGCTCTAGAATTCTCCTAGCAGTACATTATAGTTAGAAATAGTCACAAACAATGAAAACATACATAATCAAAGTCAGGGGGTTGAGTATTTTGTTTCATTATAGAAAGTTTTAATTATAAAGAGTGTCCCATTGTCAATGGGAAATAAGGTAAACCAATAACAACTTAATTATTCTTCCTTCCTACCCATATCGCCTGAAAGTGCACTGTGATGCTCACATTTTAGAAATTACAAATATTTCATCAGCAATCACTCACAGTTGGTTTAAAGATTTTTAACAGACAACATATAACATTGTGTGTGTGAGCATGCATGCACGTATGTTTTACAACTCAATCATATGAATTAAATGATGTGTTTTTGAAGTGTATTCTGTTAAACAACGTGAAAGAACTTAATGAATCAAAAGTCACAAATAAAGAGCGATACAGGAAGGAAATCTGGTGACACAGAAGAAAATGATCTTAGGTGGTTTGAGATGGAGCTGATAAATAGCTGCAACGTGTGATTTCTCATAATCCAGACAAGAACAAAAAATGAAGAACTTACCATTTATGTGAGTTCCAAAATCAATCTTCGTAACATCATCATATTCCAGTACAGTTGGATCACCTGCGTTTGGTGTATAATGTGCAGCACAGTGGTTGCGGGAGCATCCAGTGGGAAAAGCTAATCCAGCTTTAAGCCCATCTTCACCAATCAAACGGCGAGCTGTGTTTTCCAACTCTTCACAAATTTGAATCATTGTCATTCCTGGCTTCACCCATCTCTGGATATGCTGACGAGTCTAAAAACATGAATAATAGTGACCATAACAATGAGTTAATATTTGTACATGAGAAAATTATTATTTATTTATTCAGGTTTTGGGAAACTTCTAATATATAAAGGTCATTGAGATGGTCATCAGCTGAAATGAGGCAGTCATTAGGAATATTGCAATGTGAAGTGCAGCACTGTTCAATTGATTTCCAGAAACACTGAGTAGGAAATTAACATTCATCTAATACTCAAGAGATATTCATAAGCAAATGAAAGAGATAATCCAGGACTTTTTTCCATTATAGAAACCGTTCCTGTCATTACAATACGATTTTAAATTGTGATAAATTTTCTTTCTCAGCGAAGGCTTGTTTAGAATGATGGCAGGAATGGATTTAATTATGAATGGTGGATGTTTTCCCATAGTAAACTACTAAAGTAGCTTTTTTTCCCATTGGATAATCTTCAGTTTGAATTTTTCGACTAATGTTATCAATCAGTTAATGTTATTGAATTATCTGTGTCTTGGAGCAATAAATAATAAGCAGTGTCCACTGTATCTTCAACACAAAGTTAAGGAGGCATCACAATTGAAGTCAGAAATTTAGAAGGTTTGAACAATGTTCAATTCTCATTGCTTGAGTGGTCAGACATAAGATCTAACATTCTCATCCTCAAGAAAATGTTCAAGTCAATTAGACAATTTTATTTTGATTCAATAGCTAGAATTAGTTACAAATTTTAAATCTTCTCACAAAGCCCTTTCACAAAATTAGGGGTTGGCTTATACTTAAGAGATTAGTTATATTCAGGTAGATACGATACTTACATTCCCCGAAATGCTACACCAATGTACTACATTGAATTGATATTCATAAAAAAATCGCTGATTTAATAGTACAACAGTCCCTCACTCATGATATGTGAACATGGTAATTACATAATTTAAGATTAAGAAGAAAAGAAAAATCTATGAGCACTATGAAAAAGTCGCACCAAGAGGGGATTCAGAACAGAGGGGTTAGTCATGCTTGAAGGTTTAATAAAACAATGTATGCTTTTATGGTCAGTCACACTTAAAATCATCCTGTTGGTTGAAAGACTGTGATCTTTTGGAAATCATGTTTCCATAGCTTATATATAGTCTACAATCCTGCAGGTCAAAAAATAATTTTAAAACTATGTTTCATTAATATTGACTATTCCACTCATGAAATTAAAACCAATAGTGCTTAACTATTCATATAAAATGTCCCAATTAGGACAGTGTATTTTAAAAAAAACTATTGTTATTCCGAGCTGATTTTTCTTACTATTCCTCCCTACTGGCCAATAATAAGCTTTGATTCATCTATCTTAGGAGGTGGAATACATCAATTCCTGTATCAATGTGCCGGTGAGTATTATAACATAATCTCTATGATTTTAACATGTTTTCAGTCGTTTTCAATATTTGGCACATTTTGGATTTCTTGGACGTAATTATATTCATGGAATAGTCTTTATTAAAAACCACTCGTGCTTTTGAAATTCTCAGATAAATCCCCTACTCACTTCACAAGTCAGGGATTTATTAATTTCCAAAGCACTTGTAGTATTACCAGTGATAATTTTATCGAAGTCAAATTACCTGACGATGTGCTTCTGCAGCATGACGCACTTCGTTGTAAATATCATTATGCAATCGATCCAGAGCTCGTTTTTCCTCGCTTGTAAATCTATCTTTAGCAGTACGATCATCATTCACCAAGGGATACTCCATTTCTTGACCAACAGGGAACACTCCTAAAAATAAACAAATCTCGTAACACACAACAAAAACTTTTCAGTTTGAGTATCAAAAGTAGCTTGACAATTTTCTACAAAATGTTTCATTACAAAACCTTCAAAAGATATCTTACCATCACTAAATAACTCTGCAATGGGAATACTAGGAGGATCCGTCTGAGTTTTTCCTTTAGCACCAGTACCTTTTCCTTTACGTTTTCTTTTCTTTTTCTTCCCTTCTCCTCCTTCTTCAGTGCCACCCTCTATAACAATGCACAACTTCAAAATATCAGGGCACAATTTCAGTTTGATATTCACAATTTGGGTTATGTTCACCAAAATTTGCATTTGAAAAATATTAGATATCAAATGAAAAAAAGGAAACCTTATCACACACTTTAGCTCAGAAAATGAAAAAAAACTCACTTCACTATACATGCTACAAAAATTAAATTAAATAAAAAGTTAAAAAACGTGTTTAAACATGAAATACAGATGAATATTCGTAAAACCAATCATTAGCAAACCTCCACAGACAGACAAATTTACAAAGTTGGGTAAAAAAAAAAGGAAATACAAAATGAAATAATGTACAATTGTATTATAAGCTCTTATTGAAATGGCAATGATAAAATTATTGTACAGCAAGTTGCAAAAACATAATATGCTACATAACAAATCCTCAATCTGAGGTTGCATTCAATTAAAATAAACAGAATTCATTCTATGTTGCCACTCCTCACATCTCCAAGGGCAAAATCTCAACAAAACTATACAATCTATCAGTTTATTTCAAAGTTAACCTTCAATTCGACACACTTTAAAATCTTGTCTACAAAAGACACTCGAAAAATCCAAAAAATCAAAAAACAAAAGTAGGATTGTAAGATCTCAGTATTCTTCAAAATTAATTTTGTGTTGTTTACCTTCTTCTTCTCCATTTAGTTTAATATCATTTATTTTATCCTTTATTTCATCCACTTTTTTGTCATTTTCTCCTCCCCCTGGCACATCAGCTGAGTCTTCTCCGGCGCCTGAAAGAGCGTAAAAGTAAATGTAGTGCAATTTCTCAAAACAATTCACAGCACACAATAGCAAAGACAAGGATTAAGATAATCACACCAAGTGGAGTAGCAAGAAACAATCATGACATACCGGCTTTCTTTTTCTTCTTCTTCCTTTTCTTTTTCTTCGACGCTTCAGAGGCACCTCCTTCTACTTCAACATCATCAATGTCCTCAATATTTCCATCATCAACTGATTTATCTTCTGATTTTCCGACTTCGTCCACAACGGCAGCCATTTCTATGTTTTATTACTGAAAGATAAAACCACGTGATTGAAGGCAGTCGCTCGAATACGTGAACAATAGGGTGTGACACCACAAATTTTACATTTCATTCAAAAAGGAACTCGTATTTTTGGCAAATAAAATTCATATCTTGGAAAATGTAAGAGCAGCATCCACACTGCATTCTAATGCAATATTAACCTTAACCCCATATGTGAAACAGCGCAACAATGACAACGCATAAAGTGTTCAAAACAATCGCTTCAAGGCACAAACTCTCACTTGAAAAAGGAGACTGCGTTACGACGACAACGAAAACTCCTAATTAACTGAAATAATTTACTCACAATTGAGATAACAAGATGAGAAATGTTCAGACAGGTTTTTCACATCACATTACACATGGAGAATTTCCAATGATAATGACTTTGTCGCCCTGGTGGATAGTCTCCGTAGTAGTAAGGGGACAAAGAATAATATGCAAAAATTATGCCTATTCGAAAGAAGTATGTTTTTACGTGTACATTTTCCTGTAACTCCTACAGGATTGATTTCTAATTGTATCGTCCTCACTGACAAATACCTATTAAAAGATCATGGGAAACTGGCGAAGTACGATTAATTCAGTGTGATTATCTAATTTCAAAATTAATAGAAACAATGAAATCATTATTTCGTTGATACTTCTGAAATTACTGGGAAAATGGGAGAGGAATTAGGATGTGCCGAATAGTTCCATTTGGCGGTATGGATACTTAAAGGCGGGAAAATTCAAACACCTAAGTGGAGGTTACGAAAGACGTCGGACATGGCGGACTTTTCGGTCATCTTTCCAAAAACTTGCAAGTGTTCGCCGATAACTTTAGAAAATGGAAACAAGGGATACATAATGATTCCCATACCTATGAAATAGTTTCTCATTTGTCTCTCTCGAAATCGATGAAAGAGGTTTTCGGCAAGTGAGTGAGTTTCCTCGGATACGTTTCTGAAATTTAGCCTCATGCTGCATCTGGTAAACGCCATAAAACACGGTTTTATAAACAGTGCAAAAGATCTGAGTGAGGTTATAATATTGCGCATTAAAGAAAGGTGTGATAGCCAACAAGTTTCTTAAATTTTTACTTCAATTGTTTTATTATCTAATTGAAAATAAGTGAGGAAAAAATTGTGTTCGGGTGACTGATGATTCCGAGCGCGTCAACGAAAGTAATTATCCCCGTAAGTGTAGTGTATGTTTTGTATGGCGGTCATCTTTCCCTGCTGGATGGTGAGATCCGGTGCCGACCTATCTGTTAGCTAGCGGGATGTTCTCGAACCAGGTATCTCCCACGAACGGGGCACCACCTCAGCCGTAACAAGTTCTAAGCTCAAACTTGCCGGGAGACCGGTCGGGAGCTTAGTGCTTGTCCTGACTGAGGAGGTGCCCCGCTGGCGGGAGAACCTGGTTGAGGAAAATATCGCTAGTCGACGGTAGGTTGGCGTCGGATCTCGCCATCCAGCGGGGGACGTTCACCCCACCTCCCGAGCAAAAACATGTACTACACTTAAAGAACTAATGTCCCTAGTAGTTGACCTGGGTTGTCTGAACCGACTCGGGCGTTTCTCCTCCCCACCAAACAGCTTAATACTCTCTAGTATACTCTTTTTCAATTAGTCTCTTCAGAAACGTCGCTTCTGAAAATTTTACTTTCTCGCATACGTATGTATATACGGAGTGATATACACAGTGTATGGAAAGTTAAGTAATGTTACGATAAAAAAAGTGATTTTTCGATAGAGGAACTCGTATTGTGGGGGCCTTGATCCAGAAAAATCGGATAAATCTTGTTCTGATATGTTGTAAATTACTTGCTCTAATACTTTGTGTAGCCGGAACCCGAGATTTGTAGATCTTGATACCGAAAAAATTGTTTACGATAAAATACAGTCCGGCCTGTGCGTCTGTGAACAACACTAGCTCCTAAACTATTTTAACATATTTTTCAAAATGAATATTCTCCGGTCTATGTGATTCTACTTAAAGCTCTGCGATTTTGAAATACATTCTTTAAATTTTGCGGTTACTTTACATGAAGCCTCGGGGACGGTTTCAAAATTTTCTCAAAAACTGTTCAAAATTTTTTGTTTAAATTTCTTGTAAGAACAGAAAGAAATACATTTATAAATACGGAATAGGTCCGGTGTTCGATGACAACACAAAATTTTCGAAAATTGCACAAGTTTGATTTCTTTTGGCGCATTAATATAACATCAATATTAAAGATTGAGATTTTTTTCTTCAAATGTTTTTTTCTTCATACCTATTTCATTCATTAAGGTCATACATATCCTTTTGAACATTTTTGAATTTTTCGCGCAATATTGAGTAAAATATGTGCAATATTAAAAATATCAAAAATACAAATTTCTAAAAAACGGCTGCAAATTTTTTCTTTAAACTTTTGGTAGGGATAGGGCTCTATATTCTCTACAAGACGACATAAAAGCAATTTTGCTCTATTCTTTTGTTTGTGAGCAGATGTGCTTTAAATGGTTTTTGAAATGAAGTTATCTGTGAAAAGGAGCTTCAAATTTCGCTAAGTACGCTTTCATAAAAACGCTTAAACAATGTTTCCTCGAAACCGAATCCACAATTTTCAACCTAAATTTTCATACGAGGGTTTACTCTTTTATAATATTCTTAAAACCATGTTTCAGTTCTTCCATTAGAGGACTGGAAAAAATGTAGTTTGGGCGGTGATAGATGGCAGCTGGGAAGAGGGTGGTGCAAAACGGAAAACCTAACCCAGACCATAGAAATCAAAACACTAACTAGCACGAGAAAGTTCGCGTCAATCTGTAGGACCATTTGTTAGTAATTTCGTAATTTAATAAATAATAATTTTAAAATACGTCATTTTATCAGAGCTTTAAGACATTTGCGGAAATTACATTTTTTACATAAGGCTATAGGGTCCCTTTCAAAATTTTCAGTGGATGGGAGGGGGATCTGTAGCTTCATTCCATGTACCATCTCTGCGCATGCCTATGTGCGGCAGGTGTTAGGATCGTTGGCAGGATCGTTTTATGTGTTATGCTTTCTTCAATACATTTCTGTATTATTTGTAGACCTGTTCAGAGTAATATTCAAAGAAAATTTATTAAATACTTGTGCAAGTAATTAACTATTAAAAAGTTGTCTATGGTGCCATATCTTTGCGGTTACCAGTTAAAGGTAAGTCAGTTCAATCTTCAAAGAAGCCAGATTGGGCAAAAAAGATGAAAATATATTTTTTTTACTTTTATTGAATCATTTGCAAGTTTCATCTTAATATGTCATTGCTTTTTTTTTTTAATTTTGTAGTTTATGTAGCATGGAAGTGGGTGAGTCACATGAAAACATCATGAGTGTTGCTTGAATGTCGAGGATGTTGCTTTTCGGCTTTCGTTGTGAAAAATTATTAATAGTTTGCTTGAACACACCGTTTCTGGAAACAATTCAGGGTTGAATAGCGTCAAAATAGTGATGTGTGTGTTTGCCCATCATGTGGACCAGGAATGCATTGAAAACTTTAAGAGCTATTTTCCATTAATTTAAAATTTTCATCTTTAATGAACATTTTCTCAACAACTTCTAATAGGAGGAAACTTAAATTTTAACTGAATTTCAAAAATGTTAAATACTTTAGACCATATTCTTATAAATATTCCTATTTTTAAGAACAAAACCGATTACATTGAACAAAAATGTATATTTTAAAAAATAGTATAATTTTTTTAAAAATTCGACTTCATTAAAGTATCTATAAATAATGAATCTACACTCATAAAATTGCAAGTCTAAATTAAATAGTTTCTGAGAAAATGTTCCTTACGTTAACATTGGCGAGATAGACCATTCTGGCTTCTCTTAAGGCATCTCACCACGAATTAAACCATTATTAATTAATTATTTGTTTGTAAATGAAGTAAATTATTTCTTCTAACATGTTGTGAAGTCAGAATACACGTTTAGTGGTTCCTTGATAACTAAATATTTTATGTAAGATCAAACGATTTCTCGACCCGCCAGTCCGTCTGTCCATCTGCCCGTCCGTGAATAAAACAATCAGCCATGTAGATCATAGGTAGGATTTTCAACAAATTTGATATTTCCCAATCGATCTCTCTGACGTAGCGGGCCCTTGAATTTTATGTCATATTTTGATTTTTCGGTGGTACTTTTCTTTAAGTCCTAATGACATTTTCAAACTTTTCTCTAAAGTGGCTCCAATTTTTGTATTTTTTTCTCCATCAGATAGAACAAACTACCCCTATAATAATGTTGCCTATCCGATTTTCGTTAAATTCTCGGAATTTACAAAAGTTGCAAAAGTTTACTTTTTAAGGGCGTGTTCCCTAAATTACAAAATTTAGGTTTTAATTAGTTCTTAATGAATTATATTTTTCAAAATTAGATCTTTAAATAAGGCTATATACAGCTTTTCATAATATTAGTCGTTTTCGTACAATAAATTCAATTTTAAAAGCAAAATTTTCCCCCAAACGACTCCAAATTATTTACATTATTTTTTTCAATGGATACACTAAATGCATTGAGTAACATGGCATCCATTTTTAATTTTTCAAAATACACGAATTTGTTCTATTAGTTGTGTATTACGTAACAATTACAAATAATGCGAGAAAGTTCACGCTGTAGTAGCATCACTAGTTTCATATTTGTCACTAAGAATTTATAATGACGAATATGAAGCTAGACAGTAACACATTTGCGGGCTCCTCTGATCTGGAGTCAGCAGATCACAAGGCCCTCAGCAACAACACATACATGAGCGGTAAGGGACAAACAATCATGCCCAAAGCGGGACTCGCACCCGCAACCCTTCGGACTAAAGCGCTGAATCGGTACATTCTCTTAGCCACTTCGGCAACCAGGCCTTATTACTATCATTTACTATATTAAAATTAGAACAGAGCTATATTATAATTGAAGGAAAATATGCTTGGTTTAGTTGTGAATGTATTGGAGAATATCAAAAAGATTGAAAAACATTGGCCAAATGAAGCAATTTTACCACTCACGTTTATTTTCAGTTTTTTTGACTGTTAATGATCCTACACCCATGCAAATTTTATATCACTGAAATCTAGAGATGCTAGTACAAAAGAAAGCGAAACAAACCTCCAAGCAGAAAAAATCGATTCATTGTTTTTTCTTTATTTATACATTTAACTTTGTGTAGTAAGCTACTTAATTGCAATAAGTTCATTATTATGAATTACGAAAGTGAAATACCTATTTTTTTATTATATTAAACTAGCTTAAGTACCCTGCGTTGCCCGGGTATTCATTGATCATAATCGTAGAGTAGGTAAAAAAGGAATGAATTCTATGCATGGTATATCTCCGTCACGTCCTTCTTACCGTGCTCCGTCGCGCCCCATCTGCTCCGTCTCCCTCTTAACCTTGCCCCGCCCCACTCCCCCCTGTCTCACCTGATCTCCTCTGCCTCTCCCCGCCCTCGCACGTTTGCTACGACCGTCGTTGCTGACACCACCATTACTACGGACAGCTGTAAGCAAGCATTTTTGTTTATTCCCGGCGTAGCAAAAAAAAAGAGAAAGTGTGATCACTCT